TTTTGATAAATACTCGTACATGTACACAATATATGCATGTGATTATTTATATTAGACGAGAGAAAAAAAAAAAAAAAAAATTCCAAATTCAATTTCTTAAGAATCTCTTTTTTTTGAAGGACTTTTTTTAATCGATACTTGTAACACTGAAAAATGGCGCGAAATGTTTGGTTAAAAAAAGAATGAGTTAGTTAACGTATGGGCGAAATGGTATACTCTGTTATGTCCACGGTACTGCTCATGTCTATAGGCGACGGTTACCACTTCCCATCAGGTGGACCTTCAGCCTGTTTGCCTCTCTAACAATAAAAAAGGAATAGCTTCACGACTCTGGAATGCGCCATCTATTGACATAAGTGTGTAACAAATTCGCTTTAAAAAAATCTTTTATAAACAATCTGTGAAAGCAGTTCATCATCACCTTTATATGTATGTTTCTAAGATATATATTTCCATTATCTTTTTGAAACTCACGAACGTAACCTTCGTTCCAATAATACTCCCCAATTATCTTTCCCCTCTCACCGTACTGGTTACGCTTCAAACTCTTTTCTCCTACATTCTTCACGACTCTGGAACGCGCTTCCTGATGCCATTAAGAGACTACCGACTAAACCGTCTTTCAAAAAAAGCGTTCACGCTCTCTTTTTATCTTTATCCGAGCAGTAAGTGCTTCGTATTATTCCCAAATTCGTGTATAATATAGTATATATCATATATGTGTAAGTATATTTGTTATTTATATACTATTATTCGTTTATATATGTAATTTTAGTATGTATGTATATCAATAATTAGTAGTACCGCATTCGTGTATTCTGACACTTCCCTATGGTTGACTGGGAGAGAATGCTTTTAGCATTAAGTCCGTCATGTACACATATTTGTACTAATGAATTAATAAATAAAATAAATAAATATATGTAAGTAATATTTGTTTAATGTATAAAATAAAATAGTGAAATTAAATTTGTATGCCAGCATCTGTATTTCGTATTGTGAGCGACTTCTTCACAAGCCAATACAAGCTGATAAACGCTAAATAAAAAAAATGCATTAGTTTCACTATAATAAAACACGTCTGGCTCTGAAGTAGTCGCTCTTTAAAAACACAATTCGATGTGTCTCTCACTAAAATACTCTCATTCAATAGATATGTTTCCAAAGACAACATACAGCTTTTTAATTTGACAACTAGCAATTTCGCAATTTGGGCGCCGAACGGTTTTTTTCTAATGAATGATAATAGAATGGTAACCCCGCCTGCGCTAACGGTATACGCTGGCGAGGTACCAGGGAAGCATGATAGGTGAGAATGAAAAGGCAGGTCAGTTTTTTTTTTTATGAGTGAAAATGGTATAGTAACCCCGCCTGCGCTAACGAGATACGCTGGCGGAGCACCAGTGAAGGGTGATAGATGAGAATGAAAACAGGCCAGTTAGCCCATCGTGATGAATTCATCAGGAATTAACCATGATAGTTTCCAGGGGGAACAGCTAGGAGGTCGACCTGGTTGGGTATATTGCTAGCAATGGGATTCTCAGTCTCCATTACTAACAATCCCTTTCCCCCAGGCAGATCAGTTAGCCCAACGCATAGAATACACCCTCGTTCGTTCGTTCGGAAATCATCGTGCTAAATTCTAGGTGTATACATCGCGACGGGCTAACTGACCTGCCTTTTCATTCTCACCTATCATGCTTCCCTGGTACCTCGCCAGCGTATACCGTTAGCGCAGGCGGGGTTACCATTCTATTATCATTCATTAGAAAAAAAACCGTAAATAAGTGATAAAATAAATGCACATAATCGACATTTTACGCAAATAAACGATCAATAACTGACGTGTTGTGAAGACTTCACGAGACTTCACCGACCGTGCCAAGCCTTTGTCGCCGCAGCTGACTCATAATTGTTCTTTACAGATATTTTCAGATAACAATTGTGTTGAAAGATTGTTGGTAAAGATGTATATATATATATATATATATATATATGATATTGGGTTGGAAACTATTTTTATATATAACTAATTATTTGTATATATTTTTTTATAATTTTCTTTTTGATCATCGTCATCATCATCACCAGAGGGAGACTTTGTACAAAAGTCAATTGCTTGGGTACCTCTGTCCCATTCGTCTTTCTACCGTGAAGCAGTTGTTTGCATGGCCGTGTTTCAGTTTGAAGTGTGGGATATGGCGTGAATTTACTGGGTACAGAGGAATAACACCCGAGTCCTCAGGAATGGCAACGCATAGGGGTATCATGGGCGAAACAGTATACTCTGTTATGTCCACGGTACTGCTCATGTCTATAGGTGACGGTCACCACTTTCCATCAGGTGGACCGTGAGCTTGTTTGCCATTCTAAGTTGTATAAAAAAAAAAAACATCATATAACCCATCACTGCTAAACATATGTCTCCTCCATAAGCTGCCAAGAAACTGAACTATTGTATATTCCGCCATTGTATATCAAATCATTTACCAGTGTTTAATCCGAGTTATGTACAATAAAGATTTTACAATACATCTATCTATCTATCTATCCATTTAAGAGCTGCGCTCTTGTCGGTGGAGCTCTTGCCACTCACTACGATTTTCAGCGAGTCTCTTCACCTCTTGATACGACACGACACCAACTCCTTCCTTTACAATACAATACAATACAAATTCTTTACAGCAGTTTACTGTTGGAGTGATTTTGCCACGCTTGACAGATTCGCAATCCCAGTCAGATTTTGATGAAGTTTTAAGAGGGACGCTGCTGCTCATCACTCGTCAATTGAGTTCTCTTAGTAGCCTGTTGCGACATCCACAGGAAAGAAAAGGGTGGCCTATAGACGTGAGCAGTACCATGGACATAACAGAGTATACTGTTTCGCCCATGATACCCCCCATGCGTTGCCATTCCTGAGGACTCGGGTGTTATTCCTTTGTACCCAGTAAATTCACACCATATCCCAACCTTTAAACCGAAACACAGCCATGCAAACACATCTGCTTCACGGTTAAAACACGAATGGGACAGAGGTACCCAAGCAATCGACTTTTGTACAAAGTCTCCCTCTGGTACAAAGTCTCTCTATGTCGGGACCACGCGACGTAGGTTAAGTCATGGATATTACAGTGTACTCTGTTATGTCCACGGTACTGCTCATGTCTATAGGCGACGGTTACCACTTTCTATCAGGTGGGCCATCAGCTTTGTATATAAAGCGTAAGTAAATAGTAATTAATTAAAATAGAATTTATATAAAAATTGCCATAATAAAAAGAATTAACTGGGCTACACTTTAACGGACGACGACATTAAGAAAACCTCCTTTTGAAAGATTTAAAAAAATATAGCAAGCCGGCTTTTATCCGCGACCTCATCCACGTGACTGGGATATGTTAATTGAACAGGATAAAAAGTGAGGGGAAAGGGATTGTTAGTAATGGGGTCAAATAGCCCTATTACTAGCAATATAGCCTGTCAGGTCGACCTCCACGTGGTTCTCCCTGGAAACCATCGTGAATAATTCTAGTTTAATTCGTCAGGATGGGCTAACTGACCTACTTTAATCTTCATCTGTCATCTATCACTGGTACCCCGCCAATGTATACCGATAGCGCAGACGGGGTTACCATACCATTATCACCCATTAAAAAAAAACAGGATTAAAAGTAGCCTACATCCTTTTCTATCCATATAGTACGTGTATATCAAATTTCATAGTGATCGGTTAAGCCTAAGGCCAGGTTTATAGGCCATAAGGTAATGAACAAACACACTTTCACATTAATAATATTAGTAAATATAGAAGGCATTTTCAGACTTCCTTGTCTAACTAGATACTGTTAAAGAAAACGATATTAATATATGATAATAATATATATGTTAAACATTAGAGCTATGGCAACCCTAAAAAGTCAAAGCCAAAATACGGTCTTAAAAGGACTTGTATCCAGAGCTGTAAAACATATTAATAAAAAAAAAGCCAAAAGAAATAAAAAACAATCATAGTTTGTTTTATTAAAAAAAAATTGTTAACTTGTTACAGAGTTAAATAAGGTATATTATTTATTATAATGTTACTATAATATTATTGTTTGTGTTAAAATAAATAAAAAAGAAATACCAAATTGAACTGGAAAAATTTTAAACAACGAACTAAGTTTCAAATAAAGAAAAATAAATAAATTATCTGTGGCGTGCGTAAAATGGCGCGAAAATGCATAACAGAGTCAAATAACAATGCTATTACAGTTTTCCGTCATGAGTTTTATTAAGATTTATATAGTTTAGTATTACGGAATTCACATATTTACTTTGTTTTACGGAGATAGCGTACGAAGTTTTTTTTTAATACAACGTCGTTTTATTTCAAGTATTTTAGATCAATCTTTGTGTCCCACTGGTATATTGCCCGTGATTCTTGTAGCCTAGTGCTCCGATTCGCGAGGTCTAACCTGGCATCCGCTTCGTTGATCATAAACAATGATAACAGGAACATTTTTTTTTTAAATTATTATATTATATTTATATATTATAACTGACTAGTAGGTCATACATAGGCTTAAAAATTTATAATTTTTTTTATGCAACTTAGAATGGCAAACAAGCTGACGGCCCACCTGATGGAAAGTGGTAACCGCCTATAGACATGAGCAGTACCGTGGACGTAATAGAGTATACTATTTCGCCCATGATACCTCCCATGTGTTGCCATTTCTGAGGACTCAGGTGTTATTATAGCTTAGCTGTTGAATTTACAGTGTACAGAGGAATGTACCCTGTAAATTCACTGCCATATCCCACCTTTCAAACCGAAACACAGCCATGCAAACACAACTGCTTCACAGTAGAAACATGAATGAGACAGAGGTACCCAAGCAAACAGCTTTTGTACAGTCTCCCTAAGCCTCGGCTACGCTTCGGCCCACATTTGCACGTTCATCCATCAATGCCTCAGTTGCTGGCCGCTGCAGTAATGTACTATTCTAATGACTTACTTGTTGTCAACATGCTTCGGGTCTCCCGGCTCGATGATTTCCGCTATACTGACTTCTTCCTCTTCTTCCTCTGTAACTTCCTCTTCCGTCTCACTCTCACTCACTTCACTGTCCGTCTCTACATCTACACTCTTTAACTCACTGTCACCTTCTATAAAACCACTGTCACTATTATCGCTTGAGATCCTTCTCAAGTTCTCGTCAATTTGAACCTTAACGCCATCGGATACGTCCTCATTTACATTTATCACAGTCTTATTGTCACTATCGTTACTCGATACTACGTAACCTCCGACCAATTCATCGTTGCCTGGTATCGATTCCTCCAAATATTCCTCCTCTTCCTCTTCGGAGGTGAGCGATTCGAATGACGAATCGACTTCCTCGTCGGTCTGCTGTTCGCCATCATCGAATACGATATGCTTTCTAAATGTCACACGCTTTTTACCGGAATCCGATCTGTCATCGTCGGAACAACCCTCGGTATCCGATTTCGGCGGTTTCAAATTCGATTTCTTCTTCAGGGCCGGTGACTCGTCGGCCTTATCGTTATCAGCTTCGATCTGCAGCAGCTTCTCCAATTCGCCCTTCAATTCGTTTTTGTACGTATCTATTCCGTTCTCTCTGTCGATTGTTTCGTAAACAGGTTCGGTGTGCTCCTTGCTGTCAGTGCCTCCCATTTGATTCTCATTTATTTTGTCTATGGTACAGTCAATACTCCTCGCTATCTCGCGGAGTAGCGCCTCCGCATGTCGCTTCTCGTCCAAGACAGGTTCGTTCACGTATACCAACGACACATGACGGTCCGGTTTCGTTGCGTATTTCTGTAGAACTAATGCTTTCACGAACTCGGCGGCGTCTGCGTCTTGTTTATTTTCGGCGGGCGTAGGCGCGCACCGCTCGACGTCAGAGTTACTCCGCTGTAGATTCACAGGCGTCTCTTTGAGCGGACTCACCCGGCAGGACTCGGTCCTTTTCTTCTTGTTTCTCTTCCTTTTGCCCGCCATTATCTGTAATATTGCACCTACGCCGGTCTTCTGATTGTAATCGGTTTCAGGTATGAGCAAGTTGACCACATCCTTGGGCACCACGTTGGCTTTTTCATTCGTTACATCATTTTCGTGTCGCGCGCGCGCGTCGACTGCCTTCAGCGAATCGTTCGGATTTTTCCGCAACGCGTCGGGCGCGGCTTTCTTTTTAAAGAAATTGAACATGGCGGCCGCCAGCTAACGTTCGGGAACCATGACTGTTTGCAGCGACGTTTCGGTACGGACTACTGGCTGTTTTTGAACGGGTTTCTAATATTATTTATGTGAATTAGGTATACAGTTTACGTTCTCTGTTTGTGTACAGTTGCGGACTTACGGCCGTTGTTTTAGCAAATCCAATTTGGTGCAACGCTTTGGAATTTATCGAGATGTCTGTTTGTATTTGAATGGAATATGTGTGAGTGTTAAACGATTGCAAGAGAGATCTAGCAATGTTAACTATAATTTGTCTAGTGCCAAATTTATTCATGTACCTAACATCAACATTTACATAGACATAGACGATCATTTTACTCCACAAATGTGGGGATTTCAATTATGACAAAACACTTATGAACGATATATTCCGTTGACACTAAAATAAAAAAAAAATGGACGCCATATTCGAATTTTTAAAAATCGTGACATTGTGTCTCTCTTGAAGCTTTTTTGGAAGTATGTGTTTACATATCGACTAAATCGCCATAAAATAAAACTGACTGGAGTAAGTAGTTAAATCCTTTGCGTTACAGTCATCAAAATTAGTTCAAAATTCTGTGTTCTACAAAAAAAGCCGACTTCCAACGCAGCAAAATCAAATATGTATAAAGAAAATTAAAAAATTTTGTTATTTTGATTTAAAAGCTGTAGTTTTTACTTAAATCTGTAAGTCCCGAAAAAAAATTTATCGAAATTTCGTAGTTTATTACTTTCAAATACTATAAGTATATTTTTTTTCGATAAAAAAGAGAATTTGCCATTTCGGTCTACAACTGACTGAGTTTTTTTTTATTGGATGAAAATGGTATGGTAGCCCCGCCTACGCTAACGGGATACGCTGGCGGAGCACCAGTGAAGGGTGATAGATGAGAATGAAAACAGGCCAGTTAGCCCATCATGATGAATTCATCAGGAATTAACCATGATAGTTTCCAGGAGGAACCGCGAGGAGGTCGACCTGGTTGGGTATATTGCTAGCAATGGGATCTTAGTATCCATTACTAACAATCCCTTTCCTCCCAATTAATGGAGTTATGAGGTAACAAACATGCAAAGCAACCTCCTTTTTCTCGACGTCAGTTGAAAAGATAACTGAATGACGGATTATTTTTCAATGTAAATACTACCGGTTTAACGATTAAGGGTCTCGAATTGATCTCGAACATAGTCGAGCTTTCTCGATCTAATTACACGTAAGTTAAACAGGTAGTTATTATATTAAACTCTAAGGGAGATTTTGTACAAAAGTCGATTGCTTGGGTACCTTTGTTCCATTCGTGTTTCTACCGTGAAGCAGTTGTGTTTGCATGGCTGTGTTTCAGTTTTGAAGGGTGGAATATGGCAGTGAATTTACTGGATACGGAGGAATAACACCTGAGTCCTCAGGAATGGCAACGCATGATAGCTCATGGGCGAAACAGTATACTCTTTTATGTCCATGGTACTGCTTATGTCTATAGGCGACGGTTACCACCTTCCATCAGGTGGGCCGTCAGCTTGTTTGCCATTCTAGGTTGTATAAAAAAAAAGTTTTTAACAAAAAAAGTGGATTATTTAATAAACTTGCACTACATACTTTTATTAGTCCAATATTGAAGTACAGTTTTCATAATAGGTTTTGTTATTTATAAACATTTATGACTCCCATCTCCATTCAAGAGCTGTACCCATAATGCGCATCTTGAGTTGAAAGCTGACGAGAAACAGATGTGAGATAGGTAGTCTCGTTTCAAAAATATCCAAACATACGTCAAATTAAAAATATTCTTATTAGATTTTATTAGAGTTTATTATATGTTTTTATACAATTTTGAGTATAAACAAGTTGATGGACTGCGTGTTGGAATGTGGCCACTTGCGGAGAAAGGAATTGTCAGTAATGGGGAGTATTTTTTTTAATGGGCGATAATGGAATGGTAACCCCACCCGCGCTATCGGTATACACCGGCGGGGCACCAGTGATAGATGATAGGTGAGGATGAAGCAGGCCAGTTAGCCCATCGTGACGAATTCGGCATGAATTGTTCACGATGGTTTCCAGTGGTAACTACGTGGAGGTCGACCTGATAGGGCTAGCAATATTGCTAGCAATGGGGCTGTCAAACTCCATTGCTAACAATCTCTTCCCCCCTAATGGGAAGGTTAGTCCCCAATAACAGTTTCTGATGGGTGGAATAGTAGCTCGGCCTGCGGTATCGGTATACGCTTGTAGGGTATTAGGGAAACATGAGGGATCCCTCATTGGTGCTCCGCCAGCGCCTGTCATTATCAGGTAATTAATTTCATAACTTAACACTAGAAACTATAAAGCTTACATTATATATTATAGATAGTATGTCTTTCTTTCTTTCTTTATTCTTTATTGTACACAAAAGGTTACTGAAATGTAAAAACAAACATAATAGTGCACAAGGGCGAGCTTATCTCCAATAGAGATTTCTTCCAGCAAACCCAATATGAGAAAACTGACAGTTCATTAGTAGTTACAGTCATGCATGTGTACCAATCGACTTAAATGTTATAGTTAAAAATAAATAAATAAAATGTTTTTACAATTGAAAAGACCGATAGGTATAAATAAAAATATCTTCATACAAATTCTTCAAAAAAAAACGGGTTAACTTTTTCATACAATTTTGCGTGATAAATAGTTATGAGTGATTCCTTTATAACTTCTACATTTATTTTGCCTTATATTTTCTGCGTCTTTTTAATGCGTAAACACTCATTTTATTTATTAAATAATATGTCAAGATACATTGTATGCGTAAGTATATAGAACACTGATAAAACAAACGAGTCGGTTAATTTGACAATTCGCTGACAAAACGTTGACCCGTTTTTGAGACTCGATGCTCTATCTATACAATCTAAGAGGTATACATTATTAGTTGTTATTCTCTTCACCTATCCTTCACCTGTAGTACCGTGTTCGTGATTCACTGTTCACCCCAGAGGTTGACTGGTAGAGAATGCTACTAGCATTAAGTCCGCCTTTTGTACCTTAGTTTATTTTAATCTATAAAGTTTTTTAAATGAAAAAAAAAATGAGCATTCATAGACATTATAGAATCGATAAAAAAAAAGGCGCGAAAAAGATTCCAGACAAATTATCATATTGAAGACTAGGCAGCATGGTCTCCGACCTTAGCCTGTTCCACAACGGAACAAACGTACAAAAAAAAAGGCGCGAAAAAGTATCACTTAACAAGCGTGTGAGACAGTAATTATAGAATTGGCATCGCTTCAGAATTATTTAATGATGTCCTTCGCAGAGCGTTTTGTTTTTTGTGTTTTTCAAATGTTTTCGAGACGAATTCAAACAGAAGGAGGCCTTCATTTCGGTACCATTTTTTTATGCTCGTTACCTCATAACTCCGATAGTTGAGAATCGATTTGGAAAAATATTTTTTTATCTGGAAGGATATACTTACAGACAGATTGGTCGCATAGAAATTATATTGAAATCTCTCTTTTTCATGCAACTTAGAATGGCAAACAAGCTGACGGCCCACCTGGTGGAAAGTGGTAACCGTCGCCTACAGACATGAGCAGTACCGTGGACATAACAGAGTATACTGTTTTGCTTATGATACCCCCCATTCTAAAGGGACTATTAGTAATGAGATTTAACAGCCTCATTATTAGCAATACACCCTATCAGGTCGACCTCCACGCGGTTCCCTCTGGAAACCATAATTATTAATTTTTGTTCAATTAGTCCTTATGGACCAACTGACCAGCGTTCATCCTCACCTGTCACCCTTCGCTGGTGGCCCGCCAGTGTATACCGATAGCACAGGCGGGGTTACCATTCCATCTCCACCCATTTTTTTTTATAGGTGATAATGAAATAGTAACCCCACCCGCGCTATCGGTATACACTGGCATATTGCTAGCAATGGGGCTGTCAAACTCCATTGCTAACAATTTCTTCCCTCCTTTCTCCACCCCGTCCATGCGTACATGCAGCAGCGACCTATATATATATTATTGTACAAGCTCTGCTTAGTTCAGGTATAGATGGCGCTGCTAAACATACCATTTACATTTATTTTGTTTTCATAATAGCAAAACTAAAGGTTTCTGAGCTTATCTACACATATTCAGATCGGCCGTCGTAAATAGTATGCAGTAAATATGTTCTTGTGTTAAATAAATATTCATGTGGTAAGCCGGATGCAGGCGCATCTGGTACAAGAGTGATCGTGTACGAGTCAGCTGGAATATAGTGTTGGGACGTGGCTATTGGAGAAATTTTGTCGATAGTTTTTTAACCCTACTTGGCATGATTTTTTTTCTTGGTGAAATAAATGAATGTGATATAATTCATGTTCAAAATTAAAGGAGAAATGGTTAAAAAAATTAATTTGACAGCTATGTTTTATTTTTTCTATTTTATTAAAAAGATGTCCAGACACGATCAACTTAAAGTGAACTTGGTCTTCTATATAATTTTTGGGCGGTAAGTCTTATGATGGAAATTTCCACCATTATGCAAAGAAGAGGTTTTTTTATGGGTGAAAATGGTATGGTAACCGCGCCTGCACTAACGGTATACGCTTGCGGAGCACCAGTGATAGATGGTGCAGGGTGATAGATGAGAATGAAAACAGGCCAGTTAGCCCATCATGATCATTAGGAATTAAGCATGATAGTTTCCAGGGAGAACCGCGAGAAGGTCGACCTAGTTGGGTATATTGCTAGCAATGGGATTCTCAGTCTCCATTACTAACAAAGAACTACTAGAAAAGTCAGAAAAGGAGGTGAGCACCCTCCTCTTTAAAGTTTCTTTGTTGATTACAAATGATATAAAACAATGACCAATGCTGTTGACCATTATGCACATCAACACATTCAAATAAAAACAACCACTATTGCCAAACATGACTGTGATCTTACACTTTTACGTTGCAACCATTGACACGTGTTCTTTTCTGATGCAATATTTTGCAATCAACACTCTATCTAGTAGCTGTGTTAGTCCTAGCATAGAATAAGCCATTCCTTTCTTCCTCGTGGATGTCGTAAAAGGTGACTAAGAGAGCTTA